TACAACCGCTCACGGTGGAAGTTCGACGAAGTATGCGATCTTAGCATTTTGGGCAAAATGCATGAGGACGTGTTTCCGTAGGCTCGTAACTCGGCGATTGTTACAGAATGGAGTTTGAGGCACCGGCAACGGCAGGCAGGCATTTAATAGCACCTTTTCTGGTAACTTTAACCTTTAAAGGCTAGCAGGCAAGTTTTCTGACAGGTACGCAGTAGCTGCAGGCGAAATTACGAGCTTTCGTAACTCCGTTACAATTACCTCACCTATCTCTGTAAAAAGACCCTGTACTTGATAGAGACCACGATTTTCATAAACAGCGTGTTCGAGAACGCGTATGAACAGAGTTTCCTCTGGAACCAACATCATCAACATTTCGACCAAAATCCGGCGAGCTTCAAAGCCATAGAGGTCATTTGACCTGCTCATTACGAAACCCTATCTGTTTAGCAAGATAGCTTTGTATTTTAGGGCTATGGTAGAATTTGAGACGACAAGATTTTTCCACACACCAGCCCCTCTATCTCCTTTGTTAAGGGGCCTTCGGCTACTTTTTGGCGCTCTATAATTTACAGAATAAGTACTATCGAAGGGTTCTTGCTGGTCTATAAGGGGCAATGCCCGCTGCTTTACATTTTTGCGAAGAGAGGTCCGCAGAAAAATTTAAGAATACTCAACTTGGAATGTAAAGGACCTGCTGTATATCAAAAGATTCGCCTCGATGAGCTGAGCACAACGCTTTTTCTCTGTCGGAATGAATTAATTCCGAAGGAAGCTAGGCGAGCAGAATTTGGAAACCGGTGATTTCTCCAGGATTCACCAACGCTTCTGTCTTTTTTGGAAAGAAGTCTGCTGCTATTAATCTGCGCACGATAACCTACAAGAACAGTACTGTTCAACAGTACTTACTGGAATCTTTTATGTTGGATAAGCGCTGTGTTACATCTATGAGAAAAAAAAACCTTCGCAGAAGAATTTGAGAAAACTGGAAACGGAATATCGAGAACACGCTGTATACCAAAAGATTTATCTTGATGAGCTGAACACAATGCTGTTTCCAGATTCAGATTATATTCATTTCGAAGGAAGTGATGGTGCTGCGTAGCTTGCGTGATTCCCATTATTCCGCGGAACTCCCTTAATTTCGCGATTCTTGGAATGACGCGGGATTCCGGGAAAGTCGTAACTTTCGTAGAATTCCCGGATTTCCGCGATTTACTGAAATTTTGCAGATTTGGTGAGCGGTGCTATACCTTGAGCTGATTTCAGAACAAATCCATTCTCTTGACTTGACTCTCTACCATGCTCCTACAGTATCCCTACGATGTCCCATCAGCAGCAAATCAATGGTAATATTGTTATTAGCACACTGGACAACACAACCAAAGAAAAATCTGCTAAATTGATCGAAAACCTACTGACAACAATATGACTACCTACCCCGACATATTGTGGCACATATACCAACCAGATGATGCGTGTCGCCAAGCTGAGTCGAATGGTGTCCTTGGAATCAAATACGTCTATTCGGAAGCGAAATATGGCGATGCGACGCGGCTTCCGGCGCACTAGTGGAATGCGCGCACTCCGCTAGAGTTCGGCGGCTTTTTTCACGAATTTTAAGCGGTAATATATATGACAGAAGTATTTAACAAGCGCTTCACATATTAGAAAGATGACATAAGCTCAACTCCGAGATTTACAGCCAGCAAGCGATTTTAAGATGAGCGAGCAGCGAAAGAACACATTGCTGAACTTGCTTGCTGAAAATTGGATGGATGCTGGCCTTTTTAGTAAGCGCTCTGAACACAGCTGCTGTTCTTTTAAGGATTTCATAGAATAATGGTCTGGCGCAGGCGAGTAGACGGCAATAATACAGATGCAAGAATTCACACACTCCGCTTTCTTTGGAAAAATGATCATGACAGCGCTTGTCTATTTCTTGCTCGGAGAAAAAACAATAATTTATCTGTGATCGAAGACACAAGAACAGGCAGCTTCGAAAAAGTCGCGAAAGGTCCTATAAGGTTCTGCAAGTTGAGTGCGAAAAACCAGCAACCAGCAAACCATAGAAGGTGACAGAACCAAGTTTCATTTGAGGTGCCTGTTCTCCTACATGTTTAAATTTAACCACATCTTCGTCAGCGACGCTGCAACAAATGTTTCCCATACTAGTGATGCGGTGCCTTTTTTCGAAAATTTAGCGTGGTAGTTTGCACTGTTCTCGGATCTTCAATTTTTATTCACTAAGCAAAGAGTGTTGTACAAATTTATTGCATTTTCAAATGGTTTGTTTCGATGCTGATTGACTGATGGAAGCCTATCAAATCCAGGCGTACACGAAATTTGAGGAGCGTTTCCAGAAGATCTGCATAGCTGCCCGGCGATGCTGTATGCGCTCGCGGAAAATTTGGTCACGCTTTCACAAGGAGCAAGAATGGGTGAGATCGCAACTCGGCATCTGTGTAACTGTATGCTCAGACACAATCGTTGGTGGTAGGCAACTTCGCACGGGCAGACTTTTAACGAGGTTTAAAATCGTCTGTTGGCCCTTCTCTCGCAGATAGATTGTGCCTTTTGGTAAATGAAAAGTCCAGGCAGTTTTGCCTATTTGACTAAGGTATACCAAAGACGGTATATCACGGGCTTATGATCTCGTATTAAAAGATCCCTAGCATTCCAAAGTCAGACCAATTGTCAGAGCCGCTGGGCAACAAGATTTTTTGATTTATCGATATAATTCCGTGCTAATGTACGTCCTCGCACTATTCTAGCACCACTACAGGGCTCCTAAATTGCAGAGTCGTTTGCACCAGCGGTCGCGCGACCGCGTCGCGGGCATCAATGCGCCGCCTCGATCGATGGCGCCGGCGCCGGCAAAATGCCCGGGCGCGACGCGGTCGCGCGACCGCTGGTGAACACGACTCTGCAATTTAGGAGCCCTGTATATATCACTACAGTAGCACGCATATATGTCAAGAATGCGTTGCCAAGCGTTTCAACTCAATTTTGCGTTCAAATAGGGACGGCCTGCAGGTCACATTCGAGCTCTTTGAAGACGTCAAAGTTCGTTGATCCTGCGCAGATTGAGCGTCTGAAGGATCATGTTGCTTTTAAAGGAATCTCTAAAGTATTTCTTTCGCTGATGCGGGCAATATTACAAGCGATTTGAGGCTTCCATGAGACAAAGTTTAGTGCACTTTGATCTTATCTTTATGTCTAAGGTAGAATCACCGCAAACTGTTACTGTACCGCCGCTATGTGGACGATTGCTATGTTATACCAACTCAGGATCCATCAGCAGTCCTTCCCTCATATTATGATGATTGGGGTGCTTATTGACTACTAGTTACGAGTGAGAGTTTCGAAACGCAATGGTTCCGTAAACCTAGCCGCAAAAACCATGATACACCACACCTAGACTCACTCTGCGTTAGTCAAGCAGTCCATTATAGCTAGTATGTACAGGACTGTGGGGGTCTAGTCCGACAGGCGATAAAGGATTTACTCGCTGGATTTGGCCTCCCGCGTAGCTGGGTTTAAAGGATAGAAGCCTAAAAAACATCGCTCTGTTAAAAAATACCTAACAACGTCGAGATTCTAGAAGTCGATGGGAAAATTTCACTTTGCTCACTGTTAACTGCGAAGAAACTGAGCAGATCGTCTTAACCTTAAAGGCAGTGTCCGGGAAACTCGATTTTCGGAAAATCCACTTACCGGGGGTCATCCGCAACGCTGAATCCGAAAATCCACATTAGAAGGCGCGAAAACGGCGAGAACATACGTTTTCCGAAGCTGCACAATTTGAAATTCGACGGTCCCCACCAAGGCAGAGACGCAGAGTCGCTACGGGACCCTACATTTTAATCAAGGCGGCATGCGTACTCTGCCGTATAGCAGGAATTCGGACAGCTCGGATGACCCCACCCTTAGGCGTAAGTTTCCCCACTTTTTGGTCGTTTTTCTTACTGTAGATTTAGCGTTATGACGTCGCGCTTGTGCGACATTGTGTTTGGGTGGGGCCACTCTCGCATGGCGGTGAAATCCCAAAACCCCCATCTTGCACGGACACTGCCTTTGAGTGCCAACTCTTACGTTGTCGATTAGGATGAGCTGTGCATGATTCCTTCGTGTGCGAAATGCCCCTCGGCAAGGAGGGCGACTGCATGGTGTCGGGGAGTAGAGTACATCAATAGCTAGAGATCGGAGGCATTTTGGGTCGCCACCAAAATTCCAAATTCGAACAGGATGGTGCGAAACCCCACCAATGGGTTGGTCGTTTAAGAGAGCCTTTGCGGCTTCCAAAGTCAAGTGCCAGGTTGCTGGGTACCATGAAAGAGGCTGGAGTTTAGTCACTAGTACATGGTCTGCTGCCAAGCTCATCAGCGATTTAGGTGAGCGCTAGCAATCCACATTACCCATGTAGCTCTATGTATACTGACGCATTGAACTTTTTTCTAAGTCTGATGCGGTTTTTGATGGGGTAGATTACCTATGCATTCGACAATTTCAGCCTGTAAAAGGTGTTATAGCCGTAGGAAGTAAAGTATTATAACCCTTATTTGGTCAGCGTTGCAGTGCAGCAGCGACTGGTTTAAACCAAGAAGATTGACTTTTGTGAGAGCGGAGAATTAAATGAGCTGTGCGTACTCATGCTTGCAATCTTTTATAAAGGGAGTCTAAAGGCAAGAACTCGTCTTCTTTGAAAAAATTCCAGGCGAAACTCCAAACGTCTAACGAGGTTGTTCCGCTAGGGATTCGAGTTTCTACAACTTTCAGGTTTGTACTTTGAGCCTGATAACTGGAGAATATAATGCTTATTATAAGAATCACTTTTAATCAAACTCTTATCTTCATAACTGTTGTGTTCTTTGAGTTTGAATCTGCATGCAATAGTCTCTTATGAGATTACCCAACCCCGTTACGTTTTGCACAACGTATTACACCGCTCCCATGAAAAATCTGGAAAAATGCTATCCTGATTTTCGAACCGATTGGCAGCAATGATTCCCCACTTAGCGACTTTCTGCCCATTTTCTCGTTTCACTCAGTTACTGACAGTTGGCCTTTTGCAAGGTCAGTGTGCTGGTATAGGACCCACTACAACATGATGAGTAACAACGACCCATTATAGGAGAAAAAGTGTCTAGAAGCTTCTATGTGGAGTCACGCAGGCCAAAGGCACGAGTTGCAGGTTTGTGTCTATTTACATTATTTGAAATTGCACATCAAAAGATACCTACGCTTCGCAGAAGATCGCAACTGACGGAATAAATACTTTATTTTGCTAGATGTAGGACGTCACATCTACTCCCTGATCAAACTGAAAAAAATTGCTGTGAAAAATCTAACGCTGTCATCTAGTTGCTGAATTTGGAGTGACTTAGATGCCAAGCATACATCACGCAAGTTCATCCCCTCGATCTTCCCGATAAGACAACTGTTGCGAGCCACTGTATGCCGACCATTTTAGATTGTGATAGTCGTGTCGGAAGACAACGCAAACGGCTTATGAAAAACGTCTCCGCAAGATTTTCACGAAGCATTGCCGCCTCGCAACATTCATCAGTCCAAGAGCGGTCTCTCCAACATTCTTGTCACCATGTTACATATGGTAACAGTTAATCTCACATGCGTCCTCTAAGATAAAATGGCACATAAGTCAGCAGCTTCTCTTATGGTTTTCTTTTTATAGCGCTCATCTTTTGACGTTGTATAAATTGTACAAGGTTGGAAAAGTCCTCAAGCAAATTTTGTCGTGATGGCTTCGAATGTTCCACATTCTCTTCTCCACTGTCTGTTGATTATATGGGTTTGGTTGCTTTACTATTCTATAAAAATTTTTCAGAAAATAAATAACTTAATCCTACCGATTCACTGATCGTGAAGACGTACTTGGACCTACCTTAACCCTCACATTTTATGCTCGCATGTGTCCCGCTTATGCAGGTTCTGCTCTTCACGTCAGATATTTCCAAATGTGTCTATTTGAGACGAGGTCTTCTTCTATTCTAGTTTCTCGCAAATCGACCTCCATTCAACCACCCTATTTTAGGTCTACCCCTGAGTGTTCCACCTAGTGCTTCCATCGCCAATGCTATTTTCTGTAATGTGGCTTTATTCCCTTTTGCGCACACACCCAATACTATCGCAATCTTTTTTCTGCCTCTTCTGGGCAATTGGAGCTACTTTTACTGGGGCTTACACTGTGTCATTACAGACGTGATCTCTCACTGTGACACCCAAGGTCCATCTTGGCATGACGCCGTGTTTGCGTATTTCCATGACGTCGGGCTTGCGCTCGTCGTTCCTGCTACACACGGCCAGCACCCACTTCTATAGAGTGCTGCCGCCGGATAACCGTTTGCTATAGTTGGAACTTGAGCTATATTGGCGATTTTCTGTCACGTAAGACTCCTATTGGCGCTCTCCATTTCATTCATGCGGTGTTCACTCTACGCTCCTCAGAGCCTCTGATACAGCTATACCAATTCCACTATTGCCGCTCGTACCGTTGTAGAGGAGCTTATGTGCGTCTGGATGTCTCGTGATTCTGCCCCTTTCTACTTTATTTCCTGTGTGAAGAAACCAGTAGAAAGAGGCAGAATCACGAGACCATCCTAGCTACCATCGTCGCCATTTCAGGGGTATGCCAACTCCTGCGCTTCCAGTGACACTGCCTACATGGATAGTAGCTAGACAGAGAGATCGCGAGAGATTACTACTCAGACAATGGCATCGGAAAGCTCGCTCAAAGTGTGTTACATGGAGCACCAAGGTCGTTCAAATTTCAGCCGCGCACGCCGCGGCCCCTGTATATTTTACCGAGAACGCCGCGGCCAAAGTTGAAATTAGGATGAGATTATCGGGAGAATCGCGGCCCAAACAGCTCACTCGGTGTGCCGCGGGCCTTATAAAATGCCGCACTTCTTACACGCTGTAGGTTAAGGTGCAACCAGAGTGAGGTAGCCGCAGCGATGGGGCCACCCTAAGTGTTTGTGAGCTGGGTAATCGCTTCTCTGGTTTGGTACTGTGTAACAGCTAAGTTTTTATGCTTACGAGACATACAGTGACCGCCAAAAAGTTGCGGACAAGCCTCCCTCCCTTTTTCATCGCTCCTTTTCAGAGAGAAAACAAGGATGAAAAAATGCAATAATTACTTGAGGTGATAGAGCTCTTCAAGATCTGCAATCTACACTTTAAGTTTTCTGAGAAACATGTGTTCTTAAAATTTTAAGAATCTTTTTCTAAAAAAAGTCCGAAAATGGCCGCGTCACAATGTCGCGGACAATAATTCTTCGAACGCAAAAATTCTCTTTTGAGTCCTATTTAAAAGCGGAAACACAAGTTAAACACACTATGATACAGAGCTCGTCAAGAGCTACACACTGGTTATGGTTGCTTCCCCAAAAAAGCAAGCTTGAGTTTTATTTTACTTTTTTCAAAAAACAACTTCTAATTTCCTTTATCAAGCCAAATTTCTTCACATGGAAACCTGTTCAAGACATCCCAACAAAGTCGTCTGGATAAAATAGATGCTCTTTGCCATCCTCTATGCATCGGACGTGTGCTGATGCGTTTCTTGGTGGAAAATGGCTCTTGACAGTGAGTGCACATAGCCCCACTTGCACCTCACCACTGACTTGTACCGCTTTGCAGGCTTGTAACTGGCCCGCAGTCAATATTTGAGCCTGCAATTAGGCTCATTCGAAAGAACGAAACTTCCTCTAAACGATGCAAATAAGTTCAGTTTAAGCAATCCCAGAGATTTGGCGGATGGGGTGGTAGAGGGCAGCTTCAGTTGTAGTCTAAGCACTTTTCAGCCAAAGATGAAGAGAGCTCCTTTCGCTACCAATTTCATTCTGGAAGTTCAAAACTGTCAATTTTCTTGTAATAGATCCACATCGAAGCTCCGAGACTGTTCTGGTGTTCATAAGAGCTTTCACTAGACTGTTCTGGTGTTCATAAGAGCTTTCACTCCATCACCTTTAAGGCTGCACTTTTTCAACCCATCCGCCAAATCTCTGAAATTTCTCAAACTCAACTCATTTGCATATCATCGTGTCCAGGAACTCACGCTCTTTCGAACGAGCCTAACTGCAGGCTCAAATATTGACTGCGGGCCGAGTTACAAGCCTGCAAAGCGGTACAAGTCAGTGGTAAGGTGCAGGTGGGGTCATGTGCATTCACTGCCAAGGGCCATTTTCAGCCAAGAAACTCATCAGCACACGTCCGATGCATAGAGGATGGCAAAGAGCATCTATTTTATCCAGACTGCTTCGTTGGGATGTCTTAAACAGGTTTCCGTGTGAAGAAATTTGGCTTGATAAAGGAAATTAGAAGTTGTTTTTTGAAAAAAGTAAAATAAAACTCAAGCTTGCGTTTTTTGGGGAAGCCACCATAACCTGTATGTAGCTCCTGACGAGCTCTGTATAGTGGTGTGTTTATAAGTCCGGATAACTTGTGTTTCCGCTTTAAAATAGGACTCAAAAGAACATTTTTGCGTTCGAAGAATTATGTCCGCGACATTGTGACGCGGCCATTTTCGGGCTTTTTTTTTAGAAAAAGATTCTTAAAATTTTTAGAACACATGTTTCTCAGAAAACTTAAAGTGTAGATTGCAGATCTTGAAGGGCTCTATCACCTCATGCAATTATTGCATTTTTTCATCCTTGTTTTCTCTCTGAAAAAGAGCGATGAAAAAGGGAGGGAGGCTTGTCCGCAACTTTTTAACGGTCACTGTACTTCAGCAGTCGGATGAGTGTTATCGACGGCACTAGATGATTCGACAGATGAGCTCTAACAAGTTGCTCAATTTGCACTCAAGTCATTGTCATGAAAGACAAGCCAAAGATTTTTCACTCTTCCTAGGCCTGACAAGCATGCTAATTGGGTCAACTATCGGGCGCTCACAGGATGCGCCGCAGTCACTTGTTGGGTCCAATATCGGTTTATATCGGGCGGCTCGCGGCATGGATGATTTGTGGCCGAGCAAGCACCCGCGAATTTCCCGATCCAAATGTCTGAGTAGCTACTTCAACCGTCCCCTTTGGCCTTTTTGAAATAGTAATTCTCGCCTACTAATCGCACTCATTAGGCTCAGGGTGGAAATGAACCAGTAACTTTTCAGCAAGGTAATGTGACTCTGCTCACATCATGCCCCCGCAAGCTATGGTGAATAGCTTACAACATAATCTCTCCAATACCCAAAAACGAATGCGCCACATTCAAAATGGGAAAAGGTGTGGGACATGGTTCTTGAGTTCTACATCGAAGTCCGACTGAATGACGCCGATATTTCAAAAAACCGCGCTCAAAGTCAGATCAATGCCTCAACTGCGTAGCAGAGAGCTGGAAGGGTGGTCGAGTCAATAGGTGCTATTTCGAGGGCTCTAAACAGACCAAGCTGCTTTCTTTCCATGTTGAGTTTCCTTCCCGTAAGGCACCCATGCCCATCGAGGGACTAATTGTAAGACAACGCAGGAAACCTTTCTCGATAAGAATGTCTTATACCTTCATTTCCGTACTGAAATGAGGTTCTTCAAAGTATTCCTGGGTCTAAATCATGTTCATGGTCCGATCTTTTTCCCCTTCATTTCGTTTCTTCTACATCGTCTCCGCTTTGTGATACTGCTCAAATGAGACAAATCTGAGAAGCGAAAGTTACAAAAGAACCTCCCATCGACGTGCATGCTTTTCTCATTCCAGTGCGGTGGCGGACCGAAGGAGGGGCTAATTCTCAAAGTTATTAAGGGCTCCTGCATGACGAAGGCGCAATAGCGACATTAGTTGAGTGTGCGCGAACGCGACGCGCGCGTATCTTCACCGTTGTAGATCCCGCACCTCATGCGCTCTGCGGCTAATAATACCGCGTTCGCTCCCGAAGATATTGCGCCTTCGTCATGCAGCAGCCTATACATAAGTTCTGAGAATGTGCTAGCGACTTGTTTGCACTCGTAAATGATTGAGTAGATTTGAAATTTTTGAGTCCGAATTAGCCTTTGGAAGTAATTAATGGGCATCGCTGCCGCCACACCCCTTCTGCATAATTTTCAGGGTTATGGGTTTTGGGGAGAAAAATTTGCGTGGCTAACGCTACGCGCCTTCATTCGGAAATTTTTGTCACACCCTCCCCAAACGGAAATCTGCCACTGCTCCAGTATAGTGACTCCAGTCACTGCAAGGCTGCGGTGCTTAGCTTTTCGATTTTTTGCATAGAAGACGGATGAATAACTTTATTGTTGTCGTGCGGTCCTGTCGGTAGATAAGATTGTAACAAAAAAATCGTTCCACATGACTATCCTAATTTGCCAGGCGGCTTGTACCCTTACCCGGGCTCAGGCGGCAACAAAGCAGATAACGAGTATACTGTAGGTGACTCCCAAAGTAAAATAGCATTGAGTCTTAAGTGATTTTTTCAAACATCACGCTACAAAGCTGTTGAACACTAGGTTTTGTGAAAATTGAGAAGCAGTCATGAAACATTGCAGATAAGAACGCTCATCATCTTGTTGAATGTTTCGATGATTTTCATAGTATCAGATGGACGCTCTCCGCCAGTAAGCAAAGATAAACCATACGACAGTGAAACATCATGCAAGTTTTATTGTTTTCGTACAACTAAAATAGCATTATTATACAAGATTACAGCTTGCTACTTTCAAGGATATTTATCATCATTCAAAAAAATATATAATATGGATGGTGACATATGTTTAAATTTTTACGGAAGATTAGAGACTGATTCTGAAATAAATGATGTGGAGCTGCAGGTGATGTTGTTTTCTTGAAAAAGAAAACCTTTGTTGTAGCAGCTTTCAAAAGCTTGCAAGTAATGTCTTCATTCTTGCATTTAAAAAAATTTACCGGAAAAAGTAGCAATTCCAAAGAAGATATGAGAGCAGCATCATCCAGTGATAATTAACCATTACCAACCAAAACGATCACCCTCATTCCCTAACAAACTTATGAGAATTTCCTTGAAAGGCTTTTTCAAGAAGCACGAATCAAATGCTTTGAAATATCGATAATTCTACGGAAACAACTGATTCTCTAATGTTCGTCAGAAGAGTGAGTGTACCATCAAAAGAACTCAAAAAACCGTTGAAAGTTTGTGTAGCGAATCAAATCAATCGATCAATCAGCTACCTTAAGACCTTGCTGCACAAGTTTTCGGACTTTTTGGAACTTAATCTCATCAAAAGGCCTCTTCCACCGTGGCGCTTTACTCTAAAGATTCAACTGTAATCTAACAGTAATAAAGAGTGTTTGGTGATTCGTTCCTTGCTGTAAATCAAAGTCAAACATCGCTCTACAGAATGGCACCTCAAGCCCGGTGGAAGACATGGCAAGAGTGTTATTAACGATCGAACAGTGTTCACATCTTTTCGCACACTCAGACAATCGCATCGGGAAGTTCGCGGGTGCTTGCTCGACCACCAATCATCCATGCCGCGAGCTGCCCGGTATGAACGATATTGAACCCGATAAGTGACCGCGGTGCACCCTGTAAGCGCCCGATAGTTGACCCGATTAGCATGCTTGTGAGGCCTAAGAAGAGTGAAAAATTTTTAGGCGTGTCTTTCATGACAACGACTTGAGCACAAATTGAGCAACTTTTCAGCTCATCTGTCGACATCATCTAGTGTCGTCGATATTACTCATCCGACTGCTGAAGTTTATTTTATCAGCATAATAATACAGATCTGTCAGATAGGACCAAATCCGAAAAGCGATACTCATCCTCATAAAGACTTAGGGTAGCCCCATCGCTGCGACGTACCTCACGAGGTTGCGCCTTAAACTACAGCGTGTAAGAAGTGCGGCCTTTGATAGGGCCCGCGGCCCGCCGAGTGAGGTGGTTGGGCCGCGACCTTCCCGGTAATCTTTTCCCGATTTCAACTTTGGCCGCGGCGTTCCCGGTAAAATATACATGGGCCGCGGCGTGTGCGGCTGAAATTTTAAGGGCCGCGGTGCGCCATGTAACACGCTTTGAGGCCGCGAACTTTCCGATGCAGTTGTCTGAGCACCCTGTATTAATGATACTACGATTGCGAGCCAACCCAGAGAACTTATGCGCTTTCCACATTTTCCACAAAATCTTCTATTGCAATAGTTCGCAGTATAGCTTTGCTGACTTTGTTTACTCAGAAATCAGTATGGACAAACGCCATACTTACACAATGCAACGCAATCGCGACAATGTAAAAATTCGAAACAGTGCACCAGATAATTCCAAGTGTATTGACTAAAGTTCTGCGTGACTTGATGAAGTTGATGAGTTTTTCAGATAGTAAAACCGCACACATGGTTTTGATTCCGAGAAAATAGAAAGGTTTCGCTTTAGAATCGTGCTCAACCTCAACTTTTCGATGGCTAGTCTTATTGAGCAAAGCTTTCTGGCAATCACTTCTCAATATAGTATTTACTCTCAGAAAAAATAATATGTTGCTAGCTAGCTCCTAAACATTTGTAAAAAAATAAACTTTTGCGCAGAAATCCATGGATAAATACGGCAGGTTTTGCATGAAAATCCAAAAACAAAAGAGTTTCGAGAAACTTTTTTCAATATCCCTTTATTGCTGCATCTGCTGTAAAATCAAAATCTTCCTCAAAAGACGAAATAGTGTTTGGGACAAGTCAGGCCAGCGTTGTGTTCTCGAGCGTTTCTGCAAAGAAAATGCGATGATATAAGAATTCTGGTGAAATGATATTTTCACGAATACTTTTTGCATTTTCAAGCAAGATCCGAGCCCGCCTCGATCAATATGAAACATTGCTATGTAAGAATCTACAGATAATTTACTGCTAGCTAGAACACAGACCATCATGAATATATAATTGAAGCGCCATTTTTTTAATCCTTTCACTTTAGCCTGGCTTGCCAGTAAAGATTCGTTTGAAATGTTGTTGAATCTCAAATCTGCAATTTTTAAATACGGGGCCAAATACATGTTTTTGAAAAGTTATAGAGTTTCTTGCTAGTTACGCAGGAAGCTTCAGCTTCAACCTAGCACATAAACAAAGTATAAGAATCCACATTATTTCAGCAAATAATCTCTATCGTTGGTTGTCTTATAATAGAGAACAGTCGCGCTACTCATATTTCACTTGAAGAACTTGTTAGCATTGAGCCTAACCAAGATATGTGCGGTTAGTGTGCAATTAGCTGTTTTTCGTAAGTGAAGTCTGAGGCTTCTCGTCGTCAGAGTACACATTTGCTTTGCTTGTATTCGACAACCCAGATTTGACGGAAATAGCATTCAAAGAGAAACTAAGATATGATAAATCAGTAAGTCCTAACGAAACTAGACACACAATGTTAGTTTAAAAATATAATTTTGCAGAGTGTCTTAATAAGAGCGAACCCGAAACTCACCAATGTAAAAGGCGTAAAGATTGATTATGGTGGTCCTACAGGTTAGCGAATGTATAAGGGATTTCCTAGATTTTTTTGATAAAAGTATCAGATTTTATTTGACTCACTTACCAAAATGTAATTAGAAATAGAGGGCTGGCAAATTGATCTCCTTGCACCGTATTTTGCTTTTACCAATGACATGCCTTTGATCCTTGTATAGGTACATTAGTGGCGGTTCCAGGAATTCCGACCGGAGGGGGGGGGGAGAGGGAGGACAAAAATTAGCCATGCACTTTGGAAAGTTTTTTGGGATTCCCAAATTTCCTGGCCCATGACCCCAAAATTTAAGGAGAAGGAGGCGTGGCCACAGCCATGCCGCCGGGAAAAAATTTTTTTACAAGGCTGACTCAACTTTTGAGAAATTTAAAATTTAATCTTTACAAGTGTGAACGAGACATTTGCACATTTTTATAATATTGAGTTGTTACATAAGTCCTATCACACTTTGAATTCTTACGGCGGTAAGTCATGCACCTCATACCATGCCGTTCCACGTTCCCAGGGTACCATTCGATAGAGCAAAGCAACCTCTACAAAATGGTATGCAAAAGTTCGCACTAGCTCCGACCCACCGTAAGTTTGCATCCAAAAACTGAGTCTTACAGAGGGCTCAAAAAATCGCGAAAAATTCGTATCTTAGTTCAAAAAATCCTACGATCCTCCAACTTATAAAAATTGCACACTATATTATACATTCACATGTGCTGTTGCTGTATTTTTTCCTCATCTAGAAATGGAGAAAAGGAAAGTTTTCCTGCTTATACAAAAACGAAGCTACGTTGTTTCCACTCACGTAATTGTATAGTGCAAGCCTATAGAAGTATAACCTTAATTTCCAGCTTTCTACAGGCCTTAGTTCCCGAAAATTACAAAATTGAGCTTTCCTCACTCGGGTGTTTCATGCTAAATTCAATATTTTTCGACAACTAGGGCTTACGAAAAGCTAAAAATTGAATGTTATACTTCTAAGGGATTGTCGAATACAGCTACATGAATAGAAACAGCATAGCTCCGTTTTTGTAAAAACAAGAAAATTTTCATTTTCTCGATTTCTAGATGAGAAAAAATACGCAACAGCAAATGTGAGTGTCTGATATAGTGTGCAATTTTTATGAGCAAGTTGGAGAATTGTAGGATTTTTTTGAACAAAGATATGAATTTTTCCGATTTTTTGAGTTTTCAGTACGACTCTTTCGGGTGCAAACTTATGGTGGGTCGGAGCTGGTGCAAACTTTTGCAGACTGTCTTGTAGAGGTTGCTTTGCTTTATCGAATGGTACCCTGAAGCCCTTTAAAGATTATGAGGTGCATGACTTATCGCCGTAAGAAGCTCAAGTGTAACAAGACTTATGTAACAACCTAATACATGTAACTTCCAAAATTTCGCAACCCATTCTTGTGGGGGGGGGGGGCTTTTCTCACTTGATCTGCCATTGGTATCTTCGTTCTCGCACATGATCTGCGCATGTGCGTGTGGACTTGCAACTATATAACTCTAATAAGCATAAAGAATATGCGATAGGTTGACCCTAGTAGTTTTGCGATTAGAATGCTGTATATGCTCAGAAGGACTAAGAGCATATGTTCAAATGGAAGGAAGAGTCTAAAACAGTCATCATTGCTTCATCAGCTAACGATAACATTTTCATCATGGCTTGAGAGTAAGTAGAATACTGGCATTTAATGCCAGTATTCTTTAAGGACAAATGATGGCAATTCTAGAATTAAAAGCGTAATTCGGAAAAAATTTACTAAACTGTAATTTCACTTTTCACGCTTGTTCATATGTATTTCAAAACTTTGTTGCTGCTCTCTGGAAGTTTCTACTCGCGTTTCGCTCGCTGGAGTATCTTACCAAATTATCCGGCTTAGGAAATACTGCCGATAAAAAAGGTTGTAGATTTGAGTCCTAACTTTGCTGAAATCCCGGGCAAGGCTCTGCTGACAACTTCATCGTCAGGTTACTCATCTGAGAGAATATAGGTTCAATTTGGGTCTTCATACTACCATTGATTCTTCAAAGTGTGCACGGCAATTTATAAAGGTCTTATTTCATTTCATTTGTACGCTCAAGGCGTTCCATAAAAAAAAGACACATCAGGAAGTTAGTAATACAGCGGAAACGAACAAGACATGTAAACAAATGCAGACATCATCATGTCAGTCCGAGTCTGATCCTAATCAGACTAATGTGAGAAGATAAAACAGCTTGCACTGAATATGTTGGTAGGCTATTAGATAAGTATGCAGATGTAGGCATGAGATTTATAACTCCAAAACTTTGAATCCATGGAGATGGGACGCATGCCCCCTCGTTGCCAGCGGAACGATCTTTAGTTACTCTTAAAAGCAATCCGGCGGCTTATAAGGCAGGTCTACTGGCTCAGGTATAATAACCATAACCCAACCTAGCCGGAATGCTGGGGAGGCCCAATGACCCCAAAGGTGAAACGATTCTCATTGAATCCATTTGTTGAAATAGCAAGCTGTACGATTGACTAATAGATAGCTGAACGAAAAAGACTCGGACTGAGATGCTGATGAAACTGTGTTAGTAACTAGAACAAAACGAGTACACCAAAAATAAAAGTTTGACGCAACGTGAGGAGATACACAAGAGGCGTCAAAGAAATAATTTACAGCCACAACTGAACCCGCAAGTCAATGCAAGATCACCGAGCACCTGAAAAGACAGGTTTTAGAGGTAAAATGGAGAAGAAAGGTGATAGAAAACAAAGCCCAAAGCGATTCCATCCGCCATCATAGCACGTCCAAAGCACCCAATGGAAGCCCGAAAGGTCTAATGCAGAAGGCTCGCCCTGTCATGCAACACTAATCAGTATAAGCGATACTTGACAAGTCAAGCCTTCTCAGTCTACTCCTGAAAATATGACTACTCTCTGCACTAGTGGTCTCAACCGGGAGGTGCGAAAGCCACCTAGTCGACCTGTAGAACACGTTGTTGAACATGAGCAAGTATCTCTTGCGCCGGATTCTTGGATATTGCAAGTTAAAAGAGCCTGACCTTTCGCTTGTAGGAACAAAAATCCAGTATTTACTGGCTTTTAGCTTGTTCTCTCTTCTCAGAACTTGAAAACAGAATACAAGATCCAAGAAGGCACGACGGTTTGTTAAGGATTTCATATGAAACCTCTCAAGCCGGGTCTGGTAATCGGGAGGGGTGGTTCCGGGCGATAAACGTCTATACAACAGTCGTGTAAAAAGCTGTTGAACCTTTTCAATTCTGCGAATATCCCTTTTACGAAAGGGGGACCAGACCTGAGAACAGTATTCTAAATGAGGAAGAACTAATGCTTTATAAAGCGGTATAAGTATCTTCGGAGAACTAGCATTAGTATTGCGGAAAAGCAGAAAGAGTGAAGAATAAGCTTTTTTGACTAACGTATTGATATGCTCAGTGAAGTTAAGATTTGTATCAATCACGACACCCAAATCTCTAACAGTATCACAACTCTTCAATATAGAGCCTTTGTTGTGATACGAGGTAGTATTTCCACCTCCAAGATGAAGCACTGAGCATTTGTCAAAATTTAAGGCTAATTCCCAGACCTCACACCAATTGGTCAAATTATCAAGAGACCTTTGCAAGTCCATTTGAATCTCTGGAGCTACTTCCGGATCATAGACTGCAAAGATCTTTATGTCATCAGCATACATCCGGATGTGTACGCTAGCGGAAGTCTTCAAAGTAGAAGGTAGGTCAAGGGTGTATCAGGAAAAGCAAGGGGGCTAAGACACCACCCTGTGGAACACCACTAGTGCAGAAGTACTTCTTGGAGTAACGATGACCAACTCTCACAGTCATATACCGATCATGCAAATAAGAGGTCAACCACGAAAGAAGATTTCCTTTAATCCCTAATTTGTTCATTTTAGTTAGTAATTTAGCATGACAGACCTTATCAAACGCTTTCGAGAGATCAACATAAACAATGTCAACCGATTTGCCCTCGTTGATTGCTAAGCTCCACTCGAACACACTATCAACCAGATTAATGGAATGAGTGCTTCACATTCTAAATGAGAAAAGTGCTCTTTATGACAGATCCAATATGTTGTTGGATTCCCACCACTGTCGCTGTACTTAACAGGAACCTACATATACATTTTGCAGATTGCACCATCAGTACGTCGAAATCTGTTCGCAACTGCAAAGTAGTAGTTGGAGATGTTGGAATGGAGCATCTATCTTCCAAAGCTTTTGAAAATGTAGAAGAAGTAATTGGAACAATTCGCGTCGAGCATTCGAACGTTCCTTACCTAAACGCGCTAGACAGCCTCAAACTCGTTGGCTGGAAAAGTGAGTCTTACACACTCATCTAAAAAAAAAATGGGCTTCCATAAATAGCAATTTCAGAACCCGCACTCAAAATCTTATACAATAAACGACTTGTTGACATAAGCTCTTTACTAACAATGGATATACAATCTAAAGCTCCGGCAATCGAAATCAGGGGCAACCCAAATATTTGCCATAATATAGTGGAAAGGAATAAAATCAAAGAATGGTTAACAAAAAAAGGAAGCTCTGTTAAATTTAGTGATCGATGTCGTAAGTGATCCATCATTTTATGAAAGGTTTTCAAGACACACAATTTTAGTGAAATCGTGCCCTGGTGGGACAGTAACAGGTGGCTATTTAGCAGGAATCGAAAAACACTGTAATACTATAGCAGGAAATTTGATCGTCGACGGTTTGAAAAGTGAGTAAAAAGTACCTTCTTCTTGCACGGAGATGAAATCACTGGAACCATTCAAAAAAGTACAGAAAGCCTGACAGAGCAGAGAGGTAGATATTTGGTGCTGGTAAAATATACACATGGAAGTTTGCTGTTAACACGCATTGCTTTCCCTTTACCTAAGCTCCATAGCAGCAGTAAGAAAGGAAAGAAATAAGTTGATTGAGCAGTGAAAGAAAAAAGTCTGCTAATAATTCTCAACGCCCTGAAAATTGTTTGGGGAACATTACCTTTTTTTGAGGAAAAACACCATTCCAGCTGTGATAGATCACGTTGAAAATTCAGTTCTAGTCAAAAAAAAACAAGAAGATGTTTGGTAAACCAATCGTGCCACTCACTGGCTACAATACAATCATGCATTATGTTCAAAAAGATGTAACCTTGATTCAACTGGCTTGGCACCATTAGGGCGGGGTTTTGTGATCTATTAGGTCGTTTCATAAGTTCGTCGACTTTGTCTGGACTTTCAAAGGACTTGGACGAAGCTTTATTGGCTGATGAGCTGATAGGCAACGCGTATACAAAACCACGAGCATTTATACATAGTTTGACTTTATAACCTCTACATACATAGCAGTCTTTCCATATGTTTGGGTGAGTGTGTCAAGCAATGCTTTGTCGCGGCTTTGATTGACTAATATAATTATGATAAAATTCCAAACATTAGTCTTCTAGGAAATGCTAAGAATGCTATAAGAAAGTGAACACATGTTACGATTCTGCAAGTCAGAAACTCCCGCGACGGAAAATCAATGGTGTTTTCTCGTAAAAGTTGAAGAAAATGTACATCGTTTGATTCGAAGTAGGAAAGAGAGGAGAAACATTGCAAATATCAGAAAAATAGCATATTTGAGATAGGTGAAAAAGGTGGAAAACGAACGAGTATATTCAGTTATAGTGTTGAGAAAGCTTTCGATTGCTGAAATGTCTGGTGGTATCTTTCATATTCCGTTGTCAATTCACGCGTCGGCTTTGATCAAGTCGTCCTTTGAAAACTCCAAACTTCCTCGAATGGTAATGTTCGTCTTTGTATTTGGGCAGGTGAAAGTGCATGTAGTTGAGATTATGTCGTTGTCAAAATGGAAGACAAGACTATTGAGGTGTGCATCTTGCAGTTTGGCTTTGCGTGGCGCATTCAATAGTGGCGGCTGTTTCTCCTTCATTGCTCGTGCAAATGATTTCTATCGTTGCTCCAGACGCCCAGCTGTAACATCCATCTAGGTCACCTGTCTCGACAGTGCAGGGGCTCTTCTGCATTTTTGAAGTGATTTTCAAATCTTCTGCTACTAAATGTAGCTGTAAGGCAGAACCAAGGTTGATTTTGGCGTAGATTTCTTTGTTTTCTTCATAAATGTGAAAATTTTTCGCTTTTTGCGGTAGAGGCATCACATGCATGAGTTTTTCAACAGTTTTTCCCCTTTGCTGCATACACAGGAAGCTTTGAGCAAACCTTTCGTACAGCTACAGGCCTTACTGGAAAATTGACAGTTGAAGTTTCTGGCATTTTCCATAGAGGAGCATTGGAGTTGTCCTACGGTGTGTAGAATCAATTGACCTTTGCTAGCAGGTTTAACAATTGCGACTTTCCTTCCATCCGTGATGAATGTAGACGATAGAATTGGAAGTTGCGGTGTCACGGAGCCGATAAGGGTGACATGCAAATTGTTCCAGGTGGTGGTGCATCCAGGATTGAGTTGTAATGTAGGTGATGTTACGGAGTTCTCTTGGGTCAGGCTAAATTTTGCCGAAAAGTCCCAACTAGGACAGTTAAAGATAGTGTAGGTAGAAGGTGATGTTGTTTTGGCGTAGACACGATAGAAGAGACAGCTGGGATTGTATAGAAAACAGCCATTACATGTTACGCATCCACAGCTCGAAGCACAATATGAATACCCTGGGTTGTTGTTGGCTGTGAAAGAGAATTCTTCTAGCTTGTCCGTTGGTTTGGTATTATCGCATGCGTTTTCGGTGCAGCTTCCTGCTGAGTAGCATCGATGACTTGACTCCGAGACAAGTTCGTGGTCTCTAGAGAAGAATTCGATCCGTTTGTTGCATTTATATCGTACGCTGTCAAGTGTGATGGAGATAATACCGACGTTAATACGATTTTCGTCATATAGTCCCAAGCATGTTTCTTGTTTGAGGGGTTGAAGTGTAATGAGCGTTGCTTCATTAAAAATGCAGGTTTCCTTAGTGTCTTGTATCGTACAGACTCCTTCTTTTGCGGTGATGGAGGTGAATTGTGAACATTGCTGCGTTCCATGTGTTTGTAGCAATATCAAGACTGTACATGTCAGGAGCATGTGGTTAGTGTTTCGTTTCCGTTTGCTGATATACTTGCGCGGAAAAACGTTTTCCTGTACAGAGTGTACATAAGCTGTTCAGCAGTTTTCTCCAAATCCTACATGAGAATGTGAGTAGGTAGTAGGTTCCTTTCATGACACAGCAAAGGAGGGGTGCTGATATTGTGACCATGGCTATGAAAACAACGATATAACTCCATTTAGGATAATTCCAGCATTGTGAGTTGTGAATCCATTCCCAACAGGCCGTGCATTGTATGGTTTCGCATATTGGAGAGGCTTTGCACGTTATATTGGTTTCAAAAATTCTTTGGCCTTTGTGAAACGCCTGTACTTTTGTCGTATAGTCATATGTGACTAAGGAATTCGGAAAGAGCATACGTTGGAATGTATTTACGGTGGAAAATGTGCAGTAGTTTGCGATGCACACTTCAATTGCTTCGATTTGTTTTTCGCTGGTCACTGAGATTCCTCCTTGAGAACATTCCATTTCTAATGGAGTTTGCGTGGTTGAAGGAGCTTTTGCATGTCCGTAATAAGTTTTTGAAATTGTTCCCCATGCCTTCAATATGATCGGCGTCGTGGTGTGTAATGAATCATTCACGACAAGCATTGCGAGAGGGTTGTCGTATATGCAAAATAGTCGTGCCTTTTCTTCGCAGTGATGTTTCTTGCAGAATGTTGAAGTTCCTGAAAGTGCGTTTGTTGGATCTCTTCTCCATCCTTTGCGGTCCACGCATATGAAATCGTCTTCATCAATATTATCTTGAATGTTGATATCGAGATCAACTAATATCGTAGTGTCCTCGAAGAATTGCACTTGATTGAAAGTGCCGATGCGTAGCGTATGGTCGCATGTTGAGGATGGTTCGAAGGAGCATACGTGTGATGGTTGGTAGTGCGAGAGAGCGGAAGGGAGAGAAGCGAAGTTGGACATTTCTTTTCGGCAACTGTTGGTGTAGGAGCATGACGATGACCATTGCGGGCACTCACATTTTCTTCCACACAGCGATGTACTTGTTTCTGATGACGCTGAAAATGTATTGCTCCGTGTGGGCAGTAGATGGGGAACCAGCACAGCTTTTCCTTATTTTCTATTCGTGCTTTTGCGACTGCAACTTCTTTTCGTGCGCAGTGAGTTGCGTAGAGTACTGTTTTCTCCGTGTTTATTTCGTCGGGGCAGCGCGTATTGATGGTATTGGCGAAATGGATGGTGGAGAGCAAAGTTACATATAGTAATACATTCGCTGCTTGTTGTCTGGCTTTTGATCTCGTCACCATTTGATGATGGGATGGAGCAGGGTTTGTTGAAGGAGGTTCCGTTTGAGGTGGTTTTGCGGATTCAATTTCCAGTTTGTATATCATATTGTTAGGCTTTGTTATTAATCGTTTAGATGGTAGTCGTATTTGTACTGATCGTTTAAAATCATCACGTGATCCAATGATTTGGCCAATTTTCCATTGTCCTCTATCCAGATTTGCGTCTTCAATGATTACGTAATCGCCGTTGTTGGATTGATTGTGTTCGTGTGATCTTGGTTGTTCGTGTTCTGTTTTGTATCGCTCGCGAAGAGAAGTAAGGTATTCAGAGTTCCATTGTTTCCAGAATCTAGTGAGCATTTCTGAGGTGATTCTCCATTGCGACAGTAGTGTTTCTCGTGTTGTTGTGATTGGGGTCCATTCGTCTGATGTCTCTTCTGGATAGGATCCAGCTAGTTTTGCGTATGGGTGAAGGAAGTCGATTGGTCGTAGGGGAAGATAGTCTTGATCATCAGTGATGTACGTTAATGGTCGAGTGTTCACAATAGCTTGTGCTTCTTTTAAAAGGGTTATGATCTCTTCAATATCCAGCAAATTGTTTTCAATTGCATGTTTGAAGGATTTCTTGAAAATGTATATCATTTTTTCATAGACACCACCCTGCCAAGGGCTCAAGCTTGGTATGAATTTCATCTGTATCCTCTTTTGAGCGCAGCAATCCAGGACATCTTCATCAATGTTAGCTTGATCGGACAGTGATGAGTAACATTCAGCAATCGATTTGAACGATTGAGCATTGTCGCACACTATCCAAGTTGGGCATCCATTGGCGGCGATAAAACGTCGTAATGTGTGTGGTATCGTGCGAGTTGTCATGTCAAGGATGACATCGACATGAACTGCGCGTGTATTTAGGCAGGTAAACAGAAGTCTCCAATATTTTTCTATCATCTTATCCTTAGTCCGGTAGGAAAGCGGACCGAAAATGTCCATTCCCACATTTTCAAAAGGATAATGTGGTCTCACCACTCTTTCTTTAGGTAGCATAGGAAATGGTGGAAGTACAAAAGGTTTGGCACGATATTTCTTGCAGTGAAAGCAATCATTAGAGATTACTTTCTTGACTTCTGAGCCTCCCTTGGGGATTCCATACTTTCTGTCGTAGTTTCGTTAGAGTATGATTAACTCCACAATGGTTATTGATTGTATGCGTGTGAAGGATGAAGAGCGCGGTGATTCTGTTTTTGGTAGGAAGAAATGTTGGCGTAATGGTCTCCTTTGCTAAAAGAGCATTTTCAATACGTCCTTTGGATCTCCATAAGGACGTCGTCTTACACCTAAACAGGTGTAATTGTTTCATATGATCGTCCGATGGTGGATCCTGATTTTGGGCGAGACGAA